CGAGCTAGTCAACGTCATTTTCCCTCTCGTTATTATGTGAATAAAGACACTATTTTCAAATCTGCATTCAAGTGAATTATATGTTTTTTTATTTCTTACAACAAAAAGAAATCAATATTTTATAATTAGAAAATGTATTTGTCATGTTCTATATCGGTACTATTGTAATTTGGAGCTGTAGCATACAAACTACGTATATACAACTCTAATCAGGTTTAACATTACAACTGTGGTAACAACTCGTTGTATAAAATGAATAGCAACCATGCAGACGACTTTGAAAAATATTATAAAGACATCGCATAATTATATGGGACAATATAATAAAAAAAAATGCAATTACAAAGAAGTGATACGCGTGTAAAATGTACAAACGGTACATTACAGTGCGCGGACGCATTCCGAATGTTGACTGTGGCATATGGTGAAGCTACCTTGGACCGAAGCAACGTTTACCGGTGGTACAAAATGTTCTCAGAGGGCCGAGAAGATGTGAACGACGAAGAGCGTGCCGGAAGCCCGAGCACGTCAACAACAGACGAAAACATTGATGAAGTGAAGAAAATAGTATTGGCCAATCGTCGAATCACCGTTAGAGAAGTTGCTGAGGACCTAAACATATCGATTGGCTCGTGCCATTCGATTTTTACCAATGATTTGAGCATGAAACGGGTCGCCGCGAAATTTGTACCAACGCCCCTGCTCACACATCGTTGCTTATGCGCGAATTTTTGGCCAAAAAACAACACACTAATGATGCTGCAGCCACCGTATTCCCCAGACCTAGCCCCCTGTGACTTTTTCTTGTTCCCGAAACTGAAGAGGCACATGAAAGGACGACGCTACGCTACGATTGAGGAGATAAAGACGGCATCGAAGGAGGAGCTGAACAAGATCACAAAAAATGATTTTTTGAAGTGCTTTGAGGATTGGAAAAAACGTTGGCACAAGTGTATAATATCTGATGGAGATTACTTTGAAGGGGACAAAATAGATATTCATGAATAAATAAATAATTTTTGAAAGAACACAAAATTCGCGATACTTTTTAAACAGACCTCGTATATAAATATTTATATAACGCAATATATCTGGAAATCCTTCCTACATATATGAGCCGTTTATTTTGAAAGTGGCCTAAGTCCATTTATACTTAAATTGAGATATTTGAGGGTTTGTGTTTCAATGCAATTAAAAATATACGTACAGGATACTAATGAGTCATACTGCTTAAGAGTATCTAAAGGAGTTAAATTTATAGTTCCTATTAGAATAATGACAATTATTAAGTGAATAATATGCGTTTTCTCACCAAGAATGCAGTTAGGCCACTTTCAAAATTAACAACCAGATTCCTTATAAAATTTGAAGGAGCCCAAGTCCATTCAACATAATTTAAGATGCTTCAAATTGAAAAAATCAATACTCAATTTATTTTATATATCTTTACAACACTTCAAAAACATAATTTATGCGATTCAAAACGTTTTTTAACTACATAAATTACAAAACAATTTACTGTTCATCTACACTTTGTGTGTGTGAAAGGGATTTGAAGAAGTCATGATCACGCGCAACGTGCCGCGGCATGCCACCTCAGCCACTAGGCTACACGCGACTAGCGCCATCCACAATCTAGGTCACCGTTACAGCTCGAAGGTCCTTGCCCATCGAAACCGTTAGTGAGGCCCACCGGTCCGAAAACACACAGTGAGCATCAGCTGCCAGCCTCGACGGCGCCAGTTGCACAGGTCGCGGGGCCTCTAATCCACCGCAATGACCTGTCGACCACTGGGACCGAGGTGAACCCAGTCCCTTCCAGGCGAACCGATTCACCTCCTACCGCACACGCCGAAGCATCTTCCAGTAGGGGAAGATTGGCTTGCGCTCCGACCCCAAGGTCTACCAATTTTTTTCTGTTGGACGTTTGACTCTCATCCGAGCTTATGCTTGCGCATAAGCCGGACTTCACTCCCGTTAAAAGGTTAGCTACCCGTCCTAGCCGGGTAATCGAATTAAGGGTGTTGCCCACTAACCGTTACGGTTTTTCAACGGGTTACGTGCGAATGCGCCATTGGTGCAGCGCAGGATGCCTTTTGGATTGCTCCGAAATGACAGGGCTTTTCCCTCGCTTCTGTATGATGTCTCGTGTAATCATAGGCCGCCGAAGCATCCTCATAATACGAGACTATCGTTGGCGGGTGAACACCCTTTGGCCATTTAGTCATCATCGGAGGCCTGTGGTCACGGCCTCCTCATTCCCACCGTGTCGGTGACACGGTAATGTTCGACGGGCATTTTAATCATTGAGAGGCTGTGCTCTCTTATATTCGTTCAAGGTTCTGTCGTCATTCCTTTACGCAAGGGGAGTGTGGAAACCTGATAGACAGCACCCCCGCATTCTTCCAGGTTATGAAACGGAAATTCGTTCGAGTGGGTGTTCACTAATAATCAGAGACCGTAGTCTCCTCATGCCAACGACGTAGACAAAGTACTAATCCCGGAGGGCCATAGCCCTTTCATATTTAGAGGATTCTGTCATCATTCAATGTCCCCGAAGGGACTCAGAACCTCAAAAGTCGCTGCATTGCGCAGCAACACGAGCGGCATCTGACTGGGTACTTCGGGGTCGTCAATCCTGTACCGTAGGCGAGCCCGCAGAACAGGCGCATACGCTACGGCCCCCTGAGAGAACTGCCAAAGGACAAGAGTAAGGCGAGTCCACAGGGGTCCGACTGCATGTACGGCGTCCTCCGCTCCTCCACCCGGCGGTTAGTACCCCGTCTGCTTCTCGCCGCCATTCAGAGCGGGGCTATACACGTGAAGGGGACGCGGGGCTCGCCTCGACAATCCCTGATCGCTTGCGGCACGCGGTCTCCGCTGTGTTACAACATAAAAACAAACTCGCCGACTTAAATAGGTGCTCTTGAGGAACGCGTTACCCTACCCGCGATAAAGCCTTTTCGGAGGCCTACGCCCTTGTGACAAGAGCTTCGAGCTGCCACATCACAGTACACATCATATATCTATGTTAAATGTTTAATAGACATCCATCGTGAAAGTGATATGAATCTCCATTAGAAGTCTATCTGATTTCCTTTAAGGTAGACGTCGCATGGAGCTATGAAAGTTGTATGGGCTTCTATTGGACGTCATGTTCGGTGTGAATTCATACAGTTGATTTTTCAAAACTTTAAACCATGATATCAAACAATATTCAAAAATAATTTCAAAAAAAAATTTTTGATTCGTAATTATTTGCATCTTTGACGGAGCTGTTCTAATAATGAGTTCTAATGAAATTAAAATATGCTCATTACATTATATAATAACTTTATTATTTAATGATCAGCGTGTCTTCAGTATTTAATATATTAGAGGGTTGCTTTAGTTAATGCCGCCGTCCTCAAGTTTCAATAGTTATACATATCATTTGTAAACAACATCCAGTCAACAAAGGTTGTTTTTGTGTACAGATAAAAAGTAAAATGAATATGGAAAGCAATAATGAATTTGTCTGACATGTGCTTCTTCAATACTTTGACTTGAAGAAAAGTGCAGCTGATGCTTATTAATTGCTTCTGGACACTGGCGAAGCTGCTCCTTCGAAAAGAACGTGTAGAAAATGGATGCAACGTTTCAAATAAGGTGATAATGAAGTTCAAGACAAGAAACGTTAAGGGCAGCCAAACAAATTTGATGACGAGGAACTGCAGGAGTTATTGGATGAAAATCCGGCACAGACTCGGAGTTGACAAGATAACCGTTCCGAGGCGGCTGCATGGGGCCTTAGGGAAAGTCCATAAGGAAGGAAAATGTGTGCTTCATCGATTGTCAGAGAGCTCGAAGTTGAATCGCTTGAACATTTGCATTTCCTTGCTTGCTAAACATAGGAAGAAAAGCTTTTTGTAGCGTATCACTACTGAGAACGGGAAATGGATCTATTATGAAACGGAAGAAGTCGTGGGTGGATCCCGGTCAACCTTCAACATCGACACCAAAGAGAAATATTTACGGAAAGAATGTAATGCTTTGCATTTAGTGAGATATGGAAGGCGTAGTGTATCATGAGCTTTTTAATCCCAATGAAGCGGGTAATGCTCTTTTTTTTTATCAACGCCAACTGGAGCGATTGAACGAATAGATTCAAAAAGGGTGTCAATAGCCAGTAATAAGTGGAAAGTGATCTTTCAACATGACAACGTTAGACCGTATCTGGCAAGAACGGTTAAAGAAACATTGATAGACCTGGAATGGGAAGTTCTCCCGCACCCAGCGTATTCTCCCAATCTTGCTTCTTCTAATTCTCACCTGTTTCGCTCCATGCAACATGCCCCGGAAGACACGCACTTCGCTAACTTCGACGAACTACAAAAATTGGTCAATAATTGGCTCGCTTCAAAAAACATTATTCTTTCGACGAGGGATCCAGTTTTTACAAGAAAGATGGCAAAAAGTAGTCGAACGCGATAGCAGTTACCTTGATTGATGTCCAATTATATTATATTATGAAAATAATAAATATTACAACTAAGAAAACGGCACGTATTAATGCTACCCCCTAATACATGGTATATTATTATGTCAATTAATTTAAAGCGAAATATTACTCACTTATCCACTCGTTCCTACTCTTTCTTCGAATAATTAATCATTTTGTTTCCATATGTGCCAAAACAACAGCCAAAATAACGGCCAAATTTTAAAACTTAATATTAGCTTTAATAATATAAACAACATTATCATTCTCTTAATTTTATAATTGTAACTCTGCAACATGACTTAGCAGCAGAGAATCTTTCGGTACTTCTTTTTTCTTATCCTTCTTTTCTCTCACTCTTCCTCCTCTTCTCTCTCTCTCTCTCTCTCTCTCTCTCTCTCTCTCTCTCTNCTCTCTCTCTCTCTCTCTCTCTCTCTGTGTGTGCGTGTGTGTGTTTCTATTTTCAGAAATAAACTTCTTCATTTTTTACATGAAATATTTCTTCTTTTCTTACTTTCAGATGAAGGATGCGGTTTCGCAGAAAGGAAACGGTAACATAGCCACTCCCAAGTCCAAACCATCTCTAGAAATATATCGACCCCCAGGTTTGTATTTCGTCATTTCAAATGATGCGCGTGTATCATAAATCTTTAAGAGGATATTCTAGTCTAGACATCCGTTTTTAAATACCGATAGTTAAACTAATATAAATATATTTATATTAGTTTAACTATCGTTGGAACCTCAAAAATTAAATTATTTTACAATACATATTAAAAAAAAAAAAAAATATATATATATATTTTACAATACTTAATATATACAAAATATATATATATATATATATATATATATATATATTTTACAATACTTTCCTTTTTCTTGCTTGTTTAAGTTTAATATATATATATATATATATATATATATTTTACAATACTTTCCTTTTTCTTGCTTGTTTAAGTTTAATATATATATATATATATATATATATATTTTACAATACTTTCCTTTTTCTTGCTTGTTTAAGTTTAATATATATATATATATATATATATATATTTTACAATACTTTCCTTTTTCTTGCTTGTTTAAGTTTAATATATATATATATATATATATATATATTTTACAATACTTTCCTTTTTCTTGCTTGTTTAAGTTTAATATATATATATATATATATATATATATTTTACAATACTTTCCTTTTTCTTGCTTGTTTAAGTTTAATATATATATATATATATATATATATATTTTACAATACTTTCCTTTTTCTTGCTTGTTTAAGTTTAATATATATATATATATATATATATATATTTTACAATACTTTCCTTTTTCTTGCTTGTTTAAGTTTAATATATATATATATATATATATATATATTTTACAATACTTTCCTTTTTCTTGCTTGTTTAAGTTTAATATATATATATATATATATATATATATTTTACAATACTTTCCTTTTTCTTGCTTGTTTAAGTTTAATATATATATATATATATATATATATATTTTACAATACTTTCCTTTTTCTTGCTTGTTTAAGTTTAATATATATATATATATATATATATATATTTTACAATACTTTCCTTTTTCTTGCTTGTTTAAGTTTAATATATATATATATATATATATATATATTTTACAATACTTTCCTTTTTCTTGCTTGTTTAAGTTTAATATATATATATATATATATATATATATTTTACAATACTTTCCTTTTTCTTGCTTGTTTAAGTTTAATATATATATATATATATATATATATATTTTACAATACTTTCCTTTTTCTTGCTTGTTTAAGTTTAATATATATATATATATATATATATATATTTTACAATACTTTCCTTTTTCTTGCTTGTTTAAGTTTAATATATATATATATATATATATATATATTTTACAATACTTTCCTTTTTCTTGCTTGTTTAAGTTTAATATATATATATATATATATATATATATTTTACAATACTTTCCTTTTTCTTGCTTGTTTAAGTTTAATATATATATATATATATATATATATATTTTACAATACTTTCCTTTTTCTTGCTTGTTTAAGTTTAATATATATATATATATATATATATATATTTTACAATACTTTCCTTTTTCTTGCTTGTTTAAGTTTAATATATATATATATATATATATATATATTTTACAATACTTNATGTTCGTTTTGTTCATTAATTTCCAATCAACAAGTAGTACAAGCTTTTTTATACTTCAGACGCTCGTCGTTTCATATCCTGTGTTTGTAAAATCTTCATTTTTTAACAAACGTGCTTGAAAATAATATATCTTGATTGTATTTCGATTTTTATGAAATTATCTTTCTTTATCAGCGCGTTTGATATTCGATTTCTAATTTTATCTATGCATTGTAATACTTGCTATGTAACGGTCAAGACAACACTAAACGCTTATAAGATTTGTCCTTCCAAAATCTCCAACGGTCGATTTAAATTAATATATATATATACACACCACCAAGTTAATCAACAAAATGATAAGCTTGAAAAACTATTATCAGAATAGCCATAATATTAAGTGGTAAACTTAATTCCTGCCGTTTTTTCGTCTATAAAATTAATTTATTTTGAAAGGAAAATGAATGAATATTTTAATCAAAGTAATTTCTTCCATTTTCTACTACTTCTTCTCATTTCTCTAGCAACAGGGCAATCCTCCGGTAGAACGCGGTGTCTTTCAAAGCGACCTATTCATTCACCCATTTTTGGGCTTCTTTGTAACTGAAGAAGTGTGTGTCCGTAAGTGCATGTTGCACCGACCGGAAGAAATGGTAATCTGATGGTGCTATGTCTGTAGAGTATGCTCAATGCGGAAGGACTTCCCATTGAAACTATAGAAGTATCTACTTCACGCCTTTCGCAACATGCGGTCGAGTGTTATCATGCAAAATAATGATTTTTCGTCGATTGTTGGTTACGGATGATCGTTTTTGCATCAACTCATCACTCAATCGGGATAATTGCTGTTGGTAGCGATCATCTGAAACGGTTTCATTTGGACGCAAGAGCTCGTAATACAGCACACCGTCTTGGTCCTACCAAATGCAGAGCAAGGTCTTATGCTCATGAATATTCCTCTTTGGCGTTGAAGTGGATGGTTGGCCGGGGTCCACCCATGATTTCCTCCGCTTGAAATTATTAAAATAAATCCATTTTTCATCGCCAGTCACGTTACGCCTTAAAAATTTCTTTTTTTCTGCCTGGCGAGCAAAGAAGTCGCGATAGACAAACGATTTAAAATGGCATTTTCTGACAACTCATGTAGTAGCCATATCCCTTTCTTATGAATTTTTTCTATAACATGTAAGCGTTTTGAGATGGCTATTAAATAACATTTAACGTTTTCGACAGTTTTAAAAGCGTTTGAGCTGGATTCTCATTGAGCAATTCTTGCAGCTTGATATCTTCAAATTTTTTCGGCTGTCCAGGACGTTCTTTGCCTCTCACGTCAAAATCACCGTTTCGAAAACGTTCAAACCGAACTTTACATGTTTTCGATGGAGTTTCATCACCATCCTTCTCAATCCTGTTGTCCATGTCCAGGCGTGGTGACCTCTCTCATATATATATATCTTCATCACCATACACTTCGGATAATAAGCGATGCGTTTCAGCTGCGATTTTTTGAGATCGAAGAAGTGAAGAAGCACATGTCGAAAAAAACAGCTTATCATGGTTAATGTTTAATCAATTGGAAAATCGCTTTGGTGTCAAGAAATCTAACCAGTGTGGACTGAATCGTTTTCAGCAATGTCTAAACTACACAAGACATGCGACTTCATCGTCAAAACTTGCCAGCGTTGGAGCGGGCACACTCTAGTAGCGAGCGGCAGGAGTTAAGTTTACCACGTAATGCTTGTGCTGCCTTCGAGTACATCAACTTTCGGCCCATGTGCCACAATCTATAAGTTTCTATAATTTCGTTATTTTTTTTGTATTTCGATAAAACCTTCTAGGAACTTATTTTTGAGGAGCATTAAAACATTTATATAAAAGAAAATAAAAATCGATTTTTTTAAAGTTTTAAACTAAAATTCCTTAATGCGTCACTGTGTACGGATGTCATCGTTTAATTTCATGATCACCCTTAGGTGGAAGAGCGGAAGGAACGGCGAACGCTGCTAATCTTCGACTAAACGTGCATGCCAAAGAATTCATTATGAAGCAGAATGATTCTCATTCTTCTAAGTAAGTGTGCATAAGTGAATTATACTTAAATTTTGTAATCTCTAGTAATATACTTCATTAGTGTTACATTGGCTCAACATTGTTCAATATTCGCCAATGTTGAGCCAATGTGACGCCAATGAAGTGTGATCTCGATTAGGGATGATGTATATGAAAATCTGTCTATTATGCTGTATCACTTTTCATCGAAACCGTCCAAATCTCGATAGAGTTTGTACTTAGCTGAATATAAATATATATGAGAATATACAGGGTGTCCCAGACCACCCGTCTCACCCAATTTTTTCGTAAACGCGACATTTTAAAGAAAAATGTTTCAGACAAAAGTTTTGTGACTTCGAGGGGCACATAAGATGGTGTCATTGGTTTGACCTTGGATAGTCGTTTGAAGATCACGTGAAGGTCACCTTTAATTTCTTAAATGGAAACCCCCATTTTTCAATGCATATTCTTGTAGCTTACCTCGAGAGCTTTCCAAAACGCTATAATGAAACGTTTTTTTAATCAGTACTTTTCGAGTTATGAGGATTGAAAGTTACGGTACCGCCGGCATTAGCATTACCCAGTCGTGATGTATGACATGTCTGATACTGTCACGTAAGGTGTAACAAAATTCTCATTTACCAGCCATGTCGTATTCAAACGCGGAAGCTTGTGATATGATGCTTATTTTAGGTGAATGTGATGGTCAATTTAGAGCAGCTGCAAGATTGTGGCGAGAACGATACCCAGATCGCGCTCCTCATTCGTACAAAGTTTTTTCTCGCTTAGCTAACCGAATTACCAATAAAGGTATTCTTCAACCGGATCACAATAAAGGTAGACAAATTCGACGCCAAGTTAGAGATGAAAGGATGCCGGAGATTCTTGCATCCGCTCAATTGCATCCCCTCAAATGCGAACGCCCTACGACAAGAGATGATATGATTCGTAGAATACGTCTCGCTATTCGTTCTCTACATGTTGATGAAATTCTTCATGCAACAGATAATTTCGAGAAAAGAGTACTTGCTTGCATTGAAGCAAACGGTAGACATTTCGAACACCAGGCCTAATAACATCAGCCACACACACACACACACACACACGCGCGCGCGTACAGCAGAGAGGGTTTGGAGTCGATAAATACTACGGGAGTAACGAACCGTGGGGTCCTTATCTCTGTTGACACACACACATTCACACACACAAACACACAAAGAGGTGTAAATCCGACCGTGCAACCTCCACTTTGGGTAATGCTAATGCCGGCGGTACCGTAAATTTCAACCCTCATAACTCGAAAAGTACTGATTAAAAAAACGTTTCATTATAGCGTTTTGGAAAGCTCTCGAGGTAAGCTACAAGAATATGCATTGAAAAATGGGGGTTTCCATTTAAGAAATTAAAGGTGACCCTCACGTGATGTTCAAACGACTATCCAAGGTCAAACCAATGACACCATCTTATGTGCCTCTCGAAGTCACAAAACTTTTGTCTGAAACATTTTTCTTTAAAATGTCGCGTTTACGAAAAAATCGGGTGAGACAGGTGGTCTGGGACACCCTGTATTCTAAGCAAAACTCTTTAAGTGAATATTCCGAATATATGTCTTTTGACCAGGTCTCGGATTAACACATTGGATCGCTCTCCGTATTATCTACAGCACAGCAAGTCGAGTGGAAATATCCACAGATATATTTATCCTCAGCAGCAACAACAACAGCAGCATCATTTGTCCCGTCATTCTCAAAGTGGTCATCACACTATAGTAAATTCCACATTACGTCAATCCTATCATTTGGACACGTCCGCATCCAGTGGAAACATATTACATGTAAGTAAAGCAACGCGGTAGAAATGCGAATTCTATATATTTGAGATGGATGCAGCTCATAATTTTGCCAAAGAAACTGATACCATTATAGATTGAAATTAATCTGAAAACATTTTACCGTTAGACTGCAGGTCGAGTACATTTTAACGTAGATAAAAACGAAATCAAGACTAATTCCGTAAAATCAGGTAAACTTACCAAGTCGTTATCCTTCGTATCTACTTATGGTCTGAAACGTTCCAAAAGTTTGAATTCGGCTGATGTATTGGCCGCAAAAGCTCTCAGCATTTCCGATGCTTCAGAACTCGGAATATTTCCCACTCCTATTCAAAATATACTTCTGCGAGCAATAGAAGGTAAGAAAATTCGAATTTTATATGTATTGGGAATGTACAATCAAGGAAACGAGAACAGTCTATAAGAGTTAAATGTATGTGGTGAATGGTATTTCTTATAAATTTATATAAGAGGATAATTTGTTTAACAATATTATCGCACGCGCTATTGACTTTGTCAGATTTTCAAACGTACGCGGGGGATTTCCCTTTCATATTAAACCGACCTTGTATCCCAATTATTAATAAGTCCCCGAATTCTCAATCAGTAATTAATATTAATACGTTAATTGACTTTTCTATAAGGTGCGAAAAATACTGCCTCAGTCTCGTTATTCGGTGACGCGGCAGTAGAAGCCTTTGTTTATTTTCAATCCAACACTACGTAAGCGTTTGAGTTAGGAAGAATAATGTCGAAGCCTCGATGGCTGAAATAATAAGACATCACAAGTGGCAAATGTGGAAGTCCACGTTCAATCCTTGGCTGAAGCAATATTTCTCATAATTTAAAGAATAACCAATTAACGTGCTAATATTAATTATTAATTGGGGGTTTGGGAATGAATTAATAATTAAGAAAGAAGGAAGCTTTGGCGTAGAAACTCCTTGCATAAGTTTGATAGTCCGACGAAGCCATCAGCGCGATAAAACTATCAAACATATTATACTCCTATATAAATTTATAAAAAGCTACCGACTATCCGCATTTGATTTTTATAAGCCCTTCTTGTTACCTTAAAAAATTCGCTTACTATTAATTAAGATAATATATTTAATTAAAACTTGAATACACTTGGCTTTGTTTTAATATATTTCATTTGTAATTAAATATGATCGAGAAGTATAAGAACAAGGCAAATAAGATTTGAGGCGGTTGTTAGTACTAATTATTTTATGTAGGAGGATAAATATATGTTTGACAGTGTCAACACACACGCCGACTAGTTCGTCAGTCTTTACAAACATACACGAGGAATTTTCCTTCTGCATCAAACCGACCCTGTATCCTATTAATAATAATTTTATTAATCCCCAATTCCCCAAAACTATTAGTTAATTAAAGTAAGCCTTGATTTGATTTTCTAGAATATTGCAAAAAAATAGTTGCTCCGCTAGGAGTCGAACCTGGAAATTTCCCATTTGCCGGGAGAAACGCCTTATTTTTCTTGATTGTATATCACGAAAGCGTAATACATACTGAATTGTAAATATGATTATATGTTTGTCATGTAACGAAAGTAGGTCCATGGCTATATAAATCATAAAATAGGTCCATGGTTATATAAATCATCTAATATTAGAAAATCAACTGGTGATTATAAAATATATATGACGTTAATCTTTATTCTCTTTAATAGACCCAAATTTTTTGAATGCAAGGACATTGATGGAGCTAGTGCGACACATCCTAGAAAGAGTAGTCGAGAATCGTAAATACGCCGAGCCAGCAGCTAAAATTTGCATCACAATTATAGAGGTCACTATATTTTTCATTCTTTATTATTTTTGTAACATTGAAAATTGCTTATATACCAAGATATTTAGAAAATTACTCTTTAATTTGATAATCTTTAATAAAATAAACACAGTAAAAGATCTTCGTTCACGTGTATAGTTTTCATTTTGTATATGAATGTATCTTAATAATAAATATCTAAGAACATTGCACGATCAATAATATACCGATTTGAACGACGATCTTAACAAATAATTCAGGGGGAAATATATATTTAACTTGTAATACACTTTATGTGCTAGAAAGAAACGAAAGAAACGTTTTTGGAATCCTTGTTAAACACATGCCAACAATGGTATCAGGATCGCGCTAGGATATTGCACGACGATATGAGCTGTCATCGATATTCAGCTTTTATGACATTTCTTAACGAGATGTATTGCCAGGTATGGAATCTAGAATTGACTAATCATGGTTGAAGAAAATACGTTATGTGATTTAGACACAATCATTAATCGTGAGGAATGTTTATCGTCCAATTGCAGCTGAAGCGACGACAACTACAACTCAAGACGCAACAAGAGGGAGTTTCACCAGGGCGCGTGCTCCTCACACTTTTGTGGAAATGTTGTCAGGATTGTTTAAAGCCGCCAGTCATCAACTCACTCGCTGAAGTAAGACGATATAAATCTGCGAATGTCACAGAACATTAAATCAATACTCCGTAACAAAAAAAAATCGAAATACTATTCATACGATATCATAGATGTGCTGTTTTTTCTTTTCTTCGGTAACTGTTTATAAAAGATATACCTCACATATTATTTTGATTTTAATATAAGTGAGGAAAAAATATAAAGACCCTGTAATATCTCGAAAAATAAAAGCTTTATAGAAAACTGTTCCTCAGATAAAAGTTATACAGTTTAAAATGATCTATTTACTGATCTTATCAGTTTTATCTTGGGTGACGTCGACAAAATCAGGGCAAGGTCACCTTAAATTTTTTAAATGAAACCCTTTACTTTTTATTGCATATTCTTACAGCCCTTCTTCAAACCTTTTCAGAGCACTATAATTTTATTTATTTTAAGCAAGTTATTCCGAAGTTATTGAGCTTTTTATGATAAGATGTTTAGCGAAGGTAAGATCGAAAGATATTCCAGCTAACTAAAACAAGATCGCAGAACGATTTAACCAAAAAAATAAAATCGGTAATTGTCCAGCCAAATAAGGCAAGAATGGTAATTGTCTAGCTAACGAAGGCAAGATTGGTAATTATCCAACTAACGAAGGCAAAATCGATAGTAGATCAAACCGACGAAAACAAGATCGGCAATTATCCAGCCAACTTAGATGAGATTGGCCATTCTCAAGTTGACAAAAGCAAGATCGGTAGTAGATCCAACCAACGAAGACAAGATCGGTGATAGATCCAGTCAATTAAGGCAAGATTGGCAATTGTCCACTCTATTAAGGCAAGACTGAAAAAGTTTATAGCAATTGTTCAAAATGTCCACTAGCAAAAGATTGACAAGCTATCCTATCGTAAAAAAATAAAACGGCATTTTGAATATATTCAATAGGGATCAGAGCAGCTTCATCAAGAATCCGACTTCGTAAAACTTCCAAATTTTGTAGATTTGTTTTGTAAACTCTGTCTTTTAAATTGCCCTACAGGAAATAATAATAATCGATAAGTGATAAATCTGTCGATCGAGGAGGCCTTTCTATAGGTTCTCTTTTACCTATCCATCGATGAGGAAATATTGTGTTCAGATAATTACGGATGTCCCTTCTGTAATGTGGCACAGTATTTTGTTGAAAATATATATACTCAAAGTTGTCACCCATGATTACTTGTATCGTTGAAACGATTTCGTTTTTTAGTATATTCTCATATTTTATTGTTGTTAGATTCCCTTCAATAAAGAATGAATCCTTGAGAACATTATTCAGAATGCCTGTGCAAATATTCAATTTTTCTTGATATAACATATATTTCTTTAATCCAGTATGAACTTGTATCTGAATCAGAGTCTACAACTGTGTCGATTAATGTGGCCATTTAACTGAAATGTTTTACTTTATCTGAAAATACTATATTTGATATAATCTTATATACCAGGTGTATGCATAAGTTTTTTCCGGTTTAACTAAGAGATGGCGCCAGCGGAAAGTACGCAGCGTATTAATTTGACACATACGTCATTTTGTTCGTCTGACATTTAAAACTACAAACACACACAAGTTGAGTCCGCCAAAAACTAGCGTCTTTGTTTTATCGTTCAGTGATAATATCGAGTTTCGTGCATGAAAAAGAACATTTGCAGCATGCATTGCTTTTCTTATTTAATCAAAAGAAAAAGGCTGTTGAAAGTCATCGTTTGCTGGTAGAAACATATGGTGAACACGCTCCATCGATTAGAACATGTGAGACATGGTTTCGACAATTTAAAAATGGTGATTTCAATGTGAAAGACAGTGAGCGCTCTGGTAGACCACAAAAATGCGAAGACGAGCAATTGCAGGAGTTATTGGATGATGACCCAACTCAAACTCAACGGCAATTAGCAGAAGCATTACATGTATCACAAGAAACAATCAGCAGACGTTTACGAGCAATGGGAAAGATCAATAAACTCGGTAAATGGGTCCCACACAATTTGAATGAACGTCAAATGGAAAATCGCAAAGTCACTTGTGAAATGCTGCTTCAACGCCACGAAAGGAAATCATTTTTGTATCGAATTGTGACGGGTGACGAAAAATGGATTTATTTTGAAAACCCGAAGCGGAAAAAATCGTGGCTTTCACCTGGCGAAGCCGGTCCATCAACACCAAGGCCAAATCGCTTCGGCAAGAAGACCATGCTCTGTGTCTGGTGGGACCAGAGCGGTATTGTGTATTATGAACTCTTGAAGCCCGGCGAAACCGTTAATACACAACGCTATCGCCAACAAATGATTAATTTAAACCACGCATTAATCGAAAGACGACCGGAATGGGCCAGAAGACATGGCAAAGTGATTTTGTTACACGACAATGCGCCGTCTCACACAGCAAAACCAGTGAAAGACACCTTGAAATCGCTTGGATGGGACATTCTTCCGCACCCGCCGTACTCCCCAGACCTGGCGCCATCTGACTATCACCTCTTCGCATCAATGGGGCACGCGCTCGCAGAGCAGCACTTCAGCAATTTCGAGGAAGTTGGAAAATGGCTCGACGAATGGTTTGCCGCAAAAGACAAGCAGTTTTTCTGGCATGGTATTCATAAATTACCTGAAAGATGGGCGAAATGTGTAGAAACCGATGGCCAATATTTTGAATAAAAAAAAAATTAATTTCCCTTGAAAATTACGTGTTTTTTTTTACCAAAAAACCGGAAAAAACTTATGCATACACCTGGTATATAGTTAAAATTCTTGTCAATTCTATCATCAACTAACAAAATTCAATATGCCTTTCAAAATTATCATTTACCAGGTGTAGAAGTATGAAACCGGAATTTTTTTGTAAAAATTACACGTCTGTTGTTTAAAAATGATAAAAAATATTTTATTCAAAATAACGTCCATTGCTATTTATACATTTTTCCCACCTCTCCGACAGTTTATGAATGCCACGCTAAAAAAACATTTCTTCTTTTGAAGCGAACCAGCTATCGAGCCATTTTCGTACATTTTCATACGAATTGAAGCGTTGTTCAGCGAGAGCTGTCCCATTGATGTGAATAGAAGATAATCGGACGAAGCCAAGTCTGAAGAATAAGCCGCTGGCGTTAGTATTTCCCAACTGAACGCCTTGATCGTTTCCCTGACCCGTTTTGCTGTGTGTGATGGGGCATTATCATGGAGCAAAATGACTTTGTCTTGCCTTTTTTCCATATTCCGGTCGTTTTTCACGCGATTTAAATCGATCATTTGCTGTTGGTAGCGATCAGTGTTAACGGTTTCACCAGGTTTTAGCAGCTCATAATAGATTACACCCTTCTGATCCCACCAAACACAGAGCATTGTCTTCTTTCCAAAGCGACTGCAGTGGATGTCGATGGTTCGCCTGGATTCACCCATGATTTCTGACGCTTAGGATTCTCAAAATATATCCATTTTTCATCACCTGTCACGATACGATGGACTTTCTTTTGTATCTGTCGAGCAGTATTTCACAAGTGGTTTTTTGATTTTTTTGCTGTCTTTCATTCAGTTCATGCGGAACTCATTTTCCCACTTTCTGAATCATGGCTTTCAAACGAATTGAGACAGCTTTCTGCGTCACATTCAATTCATCCGGGAGTTCTTGTTGAGTTTGAGTATCATCTTCATCCAATAAGGCTTGCAATTCGTTGTCTACGAACTTTTTAGGTGGTTTCCCACGCTTTTCGTTTCTCACGTCAAAATCACCACTTTTGAATTTTTTGAACCACTCGAAACACTGTGTTTTACCAAGAGCATGTTCACCGTAAGCTTCGACAAACATTCGATGCGATTCTGCAGCAGTTTTTTTCAAATGATAACAAAAAACCAATGCTGTCTGCAAATTGTAGTTCGTAGGCACAAAACTCGACATGTTTAAGGTTATAGAAAAATATACCGGTGTACGGAACTTGGGTTGTTGTGTGTTGAAAATCTTCGTCAGCTGTTAGAGGGAGATGATGGCGCTGCAGAAGCGGTCTTACGGTCTCTAAACTGATGGCTAGCACCATCTATAGGGAAATTCCGGTTTCATACTTCTACACCTGGTGATTTTTGTAGAATGTGGAATTTGTTAGGTGTACAAATTAATTCTTGGCCTTTTAAAATGAAAATTAACGTTTATTTATTCAAATTTAGTATACACTTTTACCCTTTAACTTGTACGCTCGAGTTAATTCGAGCGCGCTAAACAGGCAAAACTGTGCACACTCGAGATAATTCGAGCGGCGTTGTATTTTATGCTGCTATAATTTTTCACACTCAAATATAATCGAGAATTGAAAATAACAATGTGAAAGCAAAGAAAAAAATTTTGTTACATAATAAAATATTGATTTTTTTTGGCCGGTTCTTTTCAAAAAAACTGTGCGTTAAGGGGTTAATTAACAAAGTAATATTCAGTAGCATTTATATATTTTTTTCCATCTTTCGGGTAGATAACGAATCCCCTCTCAGTAAAAGGATGCCGATTTAAAGTCAATAAAGTCGGTAATGCATTTTTCGACCTCTTTGAACGTTTTGAAATGAGAATATGTTAAATAGTGTTGGAGGGACAGGAATAAGTGAAAATTTGACGGGGCTAGATCTGATAAATATCGCCGGATGTAGCAAAATTTCCCATCTCAACGAATCAAGCGTGTCCGTGATTTTTTTTTTAGTGCAATAGAATGACCGACTTAGGCCCGTTGCCCGTAAAAGTCACTTTTTACACGTGCTAGAAGATATTGCACCTTCCCCTAATATCTCAACAAACATTTTCTTTGCCCCAGCCGTGTTTTTTTTCTAAACTGAAACGCGAAGAGCAAACAGTACCTAATGTGTTGTTTGTCAGACATTATCGTGTTTACTGCGCTCACGATGAATTGTTTGAGGTTATGTCAGCTACATATTCCGGTTTTATGGTTTATTGTATTGGTATTATACAGCTCTAAAGTTCACGGCAAAAATTTTCCGCTTAAATAAGCGTTACAATTGAT